TAGTAAATACAAATAACAAATACACACATGAGCTGGAGAAGCAGGCAAGAGAAACATGCAAGGTGCTCCAGTGGATGAGGAAGTACCCGAGCAAGTTTATTGAGACAATAAGATGCATCTCCTAAGGATAGATAGAGTAGTTTAGGCTGTTTCTACCCTCCAATTACTAATAATCCTTAAAGTAAAGGTTCTTCCAGAGAGGATTCACTCATTCGTTTTTATGTTTGCTGATGATGCATAAATAATGAAGAATCAGACAGAGGAAGATAGCAAGAGTCTGCAAGATGGCCTGGACAAAGTGAAAAAAATTGTGCAATAAATGGCTACTGGAGTTTAACTCGAGTAAGTGCAAAGTAATGAAACTAGGTGTAGGGAGCAAGTGGTCGGACACAAGGTACCAATGTGAGATGAAATACATCAAGAATCATGTAGAGAGAATGACCTGGGTGTTGATCACCGAACCTGTCTCCTGAAGCCCACATCAAAAGGATATCATCACCGGTGTGATGTTATCGGTGTGCCAGGTTTACCAACATAATGACTGTATAAAGCTGTGTAAGGAATCATTCAGGACCTTGTATATCACATACGTCAGACCAATTCTGGAGCAAGCGGCTATAGCCTGGAGTCCATATCTAGTCAAATACAAGACGAAGTTAGAGAAAGTTCAGAGGTATGCCACCGGTCCAGCCGCGGAGCTGAGAGGTATGAGCTACGAGGAAAGGCTACATGAATTAAACCTCACAGTGTCGGAAGAAAGAGGTAGGGGAGACATGATTACCACCTACAAATTTCTCACGGGGAACTAATAATTGATAGGGCAGACAAGGACATACTATTTAGCATGGGTGGAACACCAACAGGTTGCCACAGGTGAAAACTTAGCTCAGTAGCTCAGTAGCTCAGTACTCAACTGAGTCACAGAGACGTTAGAAAGAATTTATATCTGTGTCAGCGTAGTTAACAAATGGAATACACTAAAAAGTGAGGTCAATTGAGAGGTTGGACCAAAGAGCCGAAGTTCAACACCCGCAATTACAATTAGGGGAGAACAAACCCCCCGTCCCCCCCCCCCACACATATATATACACACAGGATCCAATGACGCAGAAAATAATTTCTCACGGAATTACGATATTAATCCCTGACTGATACACGGAGAGCGTGGGTGTCCAGGTGTGTGGGTGTCCAGGTGTGTGGGTGTCCGGGTGTGTGGGTGTCCAGGTGTGTGGGTGTCCGGGTGTGTGGGTGTCCGGGTGTGTGGGTGTCTGGGTGTGTGGGTGTCCAGGTGTGTGGGTGTCCGGGTGTGTGGGTGTCCAGGTGTGTGGGTGTCCGGGTGTGTGGGTGTCCAGGTGTGTGGGTGTCCTGGTGTGTGGATGTCCGGGTGTGTGAGTGTCCAGGTGTGTGGGTGTGTACTCACCTATTTGTGCCTGCGGGGGTTGAGCTCTGGCTCTTTAGTCCCGCCTCTCCACTGTCAATCAACTGGTGTACAGATTCCTGAGCTTATTGGGCTCTATCATATCTACATTTAAAACTGTGTATGGAGTCAGCCTCCACCACATCACTGCCTAATACATTCCACTTGTTAACTATTCTGACACTGAAAAAGTTCTTTCTAACGTCCCTGTGTGTGTGTGCGTGTAAGCGTGATATGTGTGTAGGCGTTTGTGAGTGGGCGTGTTGTAGGTGTGTATGTGTGTGTGTCAATCAATGGACCCATCATTGACGTGGTCCGGAAAAATCCCTTAATAACCGCGTTTATTCCAACTGAGACGAGATATTAACGTCAGCCTGATCTGAGAGCAGCTGTTGCGGGCCTATTTGTATATATATATAGACCTGCCTGTATATATATAGACTTAGACAGAAAAAATATTTAAAAATAAATTAAATATTTGAACATTTGGTGAATATATATGATAAAACTTTCAATTTTAATTATTTGTCGTACATTCCTGCACATATGAATATAAATTACGGGAATACACTCCTACTGTGTGGGTTGATATCTGGACAGATCAGTCTGGTGTTGACACCGGCTTTCATCGGCCGAAACGTTCATCTTCCTTTCCCATTTCTCTGTGGATTTTCCGCATACAAATGATCAGTGTTTCGTGATCATCAGTTGCATATATATATATATATATATATATATATATATATATATATATATATATATATATATATATATATATATATATATATGTATTACGGAAAAAGAGTGTAATGTCAGAGATATGACCCCCACCTCAGCTTCCCGTTATAAAAACATGGCCCTAGCTATTTTATTTAGACAGTAATGTCCCTGCTATACTCGATTAGAAAGCTACACCCTCAATTATATCATATTAAAAGAGACAGTCCTCCAGCTAACCCCATTAGAAATCTATTTCTCCATTAGAGATCTTTGCCCTCATCTGGGTTACCATGATTTTAACAATATACTCAACAAACATATATTTGTTGAATATGACCGAAAGGGTAAACTTAATGATACTAACACGAATCTTTTCAATATTTCTTATGTTTTTCTTCACTGTCAGGGGAAGTTTAAAAGTTAACTATACAAAGTTCATTTTCAATCCTTTATTTCAATTATTTATATTCGAACCCAGCATCAGGTCTTCCCCCCCTCACTAGATGGTCGTCCCAGCACCAGTTTCGCCGTTCCATCACCAGGTCGTCCCACCACCAGGGGCCATCCCAGCACCAGGTCGTCCCACCACCAGGGGCCGCCCATCAACAGGTCGTCCCACCACCAGGGCCGTCCCAGCACCAGGGGTCGTCCCACCACCAGGGGCCGTCCCATCACCAGGTCGTCCCAGCACCAGGTTGTCCCAGCACCAGGTCGTGCCACCACCAGGGGCCGTCCCAGCACCAGGGGCCTTCCCAGCACCAGCGAGTCGACCAAGCACCAGGTCAACATAGCAATGCCCTTTGGCTCACATTGTCCCCCGCAAGACTCAGTAACCCCTACGGTCCATAGATCAGCCTCCCCCGGGGTCATTGCCCCCTTGTCCAACCTCATACCTACGCCTCGGTGCTCTACTGGCTTCTATACTGAGAAGTCTCCCCCGTTACCCTCAACCGTTGTTGCTGCAGGGCATGACCTCGATTTCTTTCTTTCTGCGTTTGAATGCATCTTAAACGCCGTTAGATAAACTCTTAGATAGCTTTGAGAGCTGCCTTACTAACGAGCTTGGATTCCCAGCTCCAGATCGAGACAGGGAACATGAGCCAGAGGCAACTTCCTTCTGTTTCATTTTACTGACTCAATACCAGGAACCGGTCGTCTTGTCATCTTAAAAGAAAAGTTATATATTTTTTTTGACTAATTTTCTTTCTCGGATTTGCTGTGGCGGCTCTGCCAGCTTCCTGATTTATGAAGACTATCCCTTGGCGTGGAGTGTGTATGTGTGCGTGTGTGTGTGTGTGTGTGTGTGTGTGTGTGTGTGTGTGTGTGTGTGTGTGTGTGTGTTTGTGTGTGTGTGTGTGTGTACTCACCTATTTGTGCTTGCGGGGGTTGAGCTTTGGCTCCTTGGTGTGTGTGTGTGTGTGTACTCACCTAGTTGTGTTTGCGGGGGTTGAGCTCTGGCTCTTTGGTCCAGATGGTGTGTGTATGTGTGTGTGTTTGTGTGTGTGTACTCACCTAATTGTACTCACCTAAATGTGCTTGCGGGGGTTGAGCTTTGGCTCTTTGGTCCTGCCTCTCAACCGTCAATCTACTGGTGTACAGATTCCTGAGCTTCTCGAGCTTAAGGCTAGAGCTCGAGCTGTGTGTGTGTGTGTGTGTGTGTGTTTGTGTATGTTTGTTCACCTACTTGTGAATTGAGCTTTTGCTTTGGACGCTTACATTCCGGCATTTTGTCGTCCAACGCAATGACTCCCGACCAAATTTTCTATCATATTTTATATGCCAATTATATCTCGACACGTCTACTGTCAAGATACAGAACCATGCCTACAACTGCTATATCTCCTTTATCATTAATCACCATGTTCAGCCCACTGTACCGCCCTCAATGTGTTCAATCCAAAACACCGCGAGACAGACAGAGAGAAAAAGTGAGAGAGAGAGAGAGAGAGAGAGAGAGAGAGAGAGAGAGAGAGAGAGAGAGAGAGAGAGAGAGAGAGAGCGTGATAAACTAAGAGATACATTGGAAACTGAAATAGATTAAATAGAATGATAACAGACAGCTCCAAGTGATTGATATATAATTAAAAGTTGGATGTATTTATTGAGAGACTTGCGACGAAGCAGGCAGCAGAGGGAAGAGGGGGGAGGGGGGGACGAAGATGAGGCCAGGTAAACATAAGCTTTTGAAGCTTAATATACACCATTAAACTTTACATAGTGAAGAATGTTGCTATGTCTGGCATCGTTGACGGCGAGGTAGGTACGAGATGAGAGAGATAGAGAGAAGAGTTATATATATATATATATATATATATATATATATATATATATATATATATATATATATATATATAGAGAGAGAGAGAGAGAGAGAGAGAGAGAGAGAGAGAGAGGAAGATGGGTGTGTGTGCGGAAGGGGGAGTGCGGTGGAGGGGGGGGAGGGGGGCACGGCACCACTAATACTACCAACTACCAAGAACTGAGCTCCCTGGCACCAGTCCGCCCTGCAACACCACACACATTAATCGCTCTCACTTCTCCCTCAGTTTACAAACCCAAATGCCAAATAACGTAAATAATCAAAACATAACTGATAAATGCGAATGCTTTTCAACTAGATTAAAAAAGACCAATGAAAACTCTGTAAAAAAAAAAGCTGGAAAAAAATAATGGTGCTTTAAATACAAATGCCCGCCATAGTGTCCATCCTTGAGTTTTTCTCATAGCGGACGGGTTCCCCGAAGTGTTGCCAGAAGAGCGCGGTGGATGTGAAGGGAGAGTTTAGAGGAAGCGCCTTTTGTCTTGAGAGTTTGGTTAGGTGGCCTCGCCCATGACGTCACGATAGGCAGACATAAAAGCCCGGCAGGTCGCTACCAAGACCACAGACGGAACCCAACCGCCCTGAAGATAAGTACTAACTTGTACCGTGTGGAACAATCGTATTGGTGAACCTCAGAGGAAGTACAGCAACTACATCCTTTTACACTAGTCTGAAGACGGTGCACGGCCAGTGCTCACTTTCCTGTGCTCTTGGTGAAAACTGAGGACTTCAACAGTCAAATTTTGTCGACACCAACACCAAGTAAGTATTTATATGAAATTTCACACTGTGTCTCTGAATCTGAGGAAAATATATCAGTTATGATAGCATTTTCATTTGCTCAATGGTAAGAGTAGGTTTATGCTTATTTCTCTAACCTGATCAAAGAAAATAATGGTTTTATATTAGACGGCGAGTTGTTTAATACACAAATAACTAGTATGTGTTCTGTGTTTACAGACATGTGTGAGGTCAACAGGAGTGGGAGTGTCCAGAGCATGAAGACGGCGGAGCTGCCGAGGGTGGAGGTGGAGCGGCAGTACTCTGACGTGAGACTCCTGGCGGAGAGCAGCGGCGTCCAGGTCTTCAGCGCCAGACCACTCCAGCCTGGGGCTTCCTGCGTCGCTCTCAAGTGTCTTCATAAGGACACCACCAAGAAGAAAGACTTCCTCAGGGAGTTCAACTATAACCTCCTTCTAAATTCCCACCATAATATCGTCAAATGTTTTGATGAACCTTTCGAGACCGGCACTTCGTATGCCTTCACGCAAGAATTGGCGCCTCTCAACAATCTGTCCAAGTACGTGAGGCGCGGCGGCCTGGGAGAAACACGAGCAAAACGTGTGGGAGAGCAAGTTGCCCAAGCTCTGGAGTTCATGCACCAGAGAGACTTGGTTCATCGCGATGTTTGTTTAGAAAACATCTTGGTGTTCGACCGAGAGCTCTCCCGCGTCAAGCTTGGAGACTTCGGCAGCACACAGGAGGTGGGAGCCCTGGTGAAGAAGCTGAAGGTTCGGTCCCCTTGGGCGCCGCCAGAAGTTAGTGTGGCCGTGTACAACGAGGGTTACCACGTCCACAGCGGTCAGGACGCCTGGCAGCTTGGCATCCTCATCTTCCTGTGCCTGACGGGGTCACATCCGTGGTCATCGGCCGACATCACTGACCGTCACTACAACTCGTGGGTGGCCTGGCTCAAGCGTAAGACCACCAAGGTGCCGCTACGCTTCACCTGCTTCACTCCTCGTCTTCTTCGCCTCCTGCGACGCCTGCTGGAGCCCAAACCTGAGAAACGCACAGGAGTGAGGGAGGTGTTCAAGTACCTCTCTGATCACTGGCTCGTCGATGACTTGGAATCATCCAGCATCAAGAAAGACGGAAAATTATCAAAACTTTTGTCAAACAGTACAAAATCTCTATTCACTCGAATGGAAATTAAGCTGATTGAACTTCTACGTTCTCATCTACACGACGAAGACGTTCAGCCACGACCGGTTGGCAAGAAACGTGTCCGGTTTTCCTTTGATGCAGAATCTGTAACTGAAGCAGCTGTGACTGACGCACGAAAGGCGTCTGACGCAGGTTATGTGTCCGACGCAGATGATGTTTCTGACACAGACGCCGCTGGGGATGTGACCCCAGCGTGAAGGTCAGTTCCCCACGACTTGGGATGATGACCTTCCACCATGACCCGGGACCGGGATAGAGAGCCCTGGTCAATACACGCCGCGGCAGGGCGCTTGTGGGCATCTCTCTCTCAAGGATGGTATGACACCGCCTGATCAAATAACCTCGGAAGGAAAAAGTCTCCGCCGTGTGTGTGTGTGTGTCCTCTCTACTGTGTTTAGGGGGCACTATTTATAATGCATTATTTACCAACGATGCAAATGGCTGTGCCAACATGTCATTTAAGATTATTATTATGATCTGTTTACATAATAATGTACAGCCAAGTCTCAAGGTGTTGATGTGAGTGATTGTTTAGTATGTTCATCTCTTGGTTACCAGCTGAACACCCGATGTTATTCTTATATGTTTATTGATTAAATTACTTAAGAAAACAGCCTTTATGATTTGCCTACTCTATACTCTTCCTTACACGATGTTGTGACCAACACTTCAGTTAAAAAAAGGTGAAATGAAAGTCCCGGGAAAATAGTAGCAGACAGCATTAGTCTCGATACGAGCATGGGGCAGTCACCACATTGGGACAGTCACCACATTGGGACAGTCACCACATTGGGGCAGTCACCACATTGGGACAGTCACCACATTGGGGTAGCCACCGCAGTGGGGCAGCTTCTACAGTGGACGCTTCTATACCCTATTGTTCCCTCAACAGTCTCCCATATTTTTTTCTGCTACTGTGTACCCCTATTGTTCCTGTCATAGCGTAGCCTATTATTCTCTCCACAATGTACCATATTGTCTTGCCATGGTGAACCCTTTGCCCTCGACGTAGCCCTGAGAACTCTAATGTGTCAGCCTTGGTCCTCGGCGCTAAATAGAGTCCGATTGTGGCTCTAATGGCTGGCAGTGTTGTCTGAGCGGTCCATTGTCGCCAGAGAATAGCTTGGTACTGTTCGTTCCTGTGTGAGGTCATTATAAAACAGATGCGTGTCCTTGTGATTTTTTTTTCTGATTGTATCAATAGGCTAAAGAGCTTTTAAGTGCATCATATTGATAGACTGTTGTTTTGATGCTGGCACTGTTGGCTGTTGACGTGACCGTCGACGTCTGCATTGTTTACTAGATTCTTATCAATTATTTATGTCTCTCAGAGAGAAGCTAATGTTGAAGGGAACTATGAGGAGGAAGTGCCAAGTCATTACGACTATATAGCACTTGGAAGGGGTCAGGATAAGGATTTGGGATGGGACGGGGGGAAAGGAATGGTGCCCAACCACTTGTTAATGTTGAATGCTCAGATGTTTATAAGATCCCTTGCAAAGTCTGCAACAAGATGCATTACAGGGAGAGACATATTGTGGAAATCACATTATTACAAAATATGGCATTTATAGCAGCTATTGATGGAATGTTAAAAAGAAAATGGACTGTTGTACATAAAAAGGGTCACGTTACTCACTATTGCAATACTCCAAATTGCACACCAAAAAGAGGGGGAACAGTAACTGTACAGTCCACCCCTAACCTGTCTAAAACCGAAATAAGCAATCCTAGACCAAATACACGCCACCTTAGGCCTAAATTTAGAAAATATAGGCCTGACTAGGTCTAGAAAAGATACGGTTTCGTTGTTGCCTTCCTTCACGTGACATTAGTTGGCAGTCTCCACAAACATTGATTGTTCAAAACTTGGTTTATTTTGGATGTAACAGCAAATTTGTGTACGTTCCACCAATAGTTGTATTAAGTATTCTTATTTCTGAGCGACAGGTTCATTACGAGTCTCAAAAGAGAGGTTTTAAGGTATAAGGCAAGAACATTTTGCTTTATACAAACATCTGAGATTAATCATTAAATTTTTTGGGAAGACTGTTCTGTAATTTAACTTAAGACTGTGGCTTCTAAAGTGAGGGGAATTTTTTTTTAAGAACTGAGATGCCGAGTAAACCGGATTCTTCATCTAACAGCCATTCACCATCCAATAACCATTCCTCATCCAGGAACCATTCATCATCCAACAACCATCCCTCATCCAGCAACCATTCACCATCCAACAACCATCCCTCATCCAGCAACCAATCATCATCCAACAACCATCCCTCATCCAGCAACCATTCATCATCCAACAACCATCCCTCATCCAGCAACCAATCATCATCCAACAACCATCCCTCATCCAGCAACCAATCATCATCCAACAACCATCCCTCATCCAGCAACCATTCATCATCCAACAACCATCCCTCATCCAGCAACCATTCATCATCCAACAACAATTCACCAACAACCATTCATCTTCCAACAACCATTCATCATCCAGCAACCCTTCCCGATCCAACAACAATTCACCATTCAAATTCCATTTTCCTCATTCACGCCTTCACCTCTGACCCCCAGCGCCGCTTCCCTTTGGTAAACAGGAGTTGTGCCAGAGAGTATATACTCAGGAGTGGGATCAACACCCGCTGCATCTGTGTACCCAGTCTATCCCCTACCTCCACCCCTTACTTTCACCCCATACCTCCACCAACCCCTCCCACCCCTCCCACCCCCGTAAACCCCCCCTTTCCCCACTTCATCCCCACCAACCTCACCTAAACCACAAGTCACATTTAGCATTTATCCTCATATATAAAGACATGATGTTAATGTAGTAAAATCCCCTCAGCCCTAACTATGCTCAATGAATATAACGAGGATCGTCGCAGCTATATCATTAGGACATAAGAATTGAGGAAACTGCAGAAGGCCTCTTGGCCCATATGAGGGCAGCTCCTATTTATATAGCCACCCAAAACTAATGTATATGTTTACTCTCATTTATATATCTACACTAATGTATATGTTTACACTCGTGTATATATCTGCATAAATCATGACCTCTGTTTCCAAACTAGTATTTACTGGATCAATATATCTCGACTCTATATCACACTCACGATATCAATAACACAAGTTATTGATATCTGATCTTAAGTAATCTCCCATTAATACTTAAATACCCTGTATTGCTGCTCAGTGTAGTATGTTGTCTCTCAAAGAAAATACACATGGATACAATGTTCTAAATTAATAAACACGTAGATTAAGAGAGGCATACACTATACACTCCCCCCCCCACACACACATACACTTAGCATTGGGTGATTTTCAAAAATAGAATTTTCTTATCTCGCAAAAAAAAAAAATCCTGAGATTTGTTGCGAGATAATATGATCACCGCGTTCAAAATTATCAGCAGAATTAAGGTAGACAGATTAATTAGCAGGTGAGGGGTATTCGAACAAGGAGAGAAAAGACAGGTGGAAACTGAGTACCCAAGGAAGCCGTAGAGGCATTAGAAAGAACGTTATCAGTTTCAGATTTTTTGAGCTTGTGTACCAGTCGGTTGTATATTAAGAGGAGGGACTATAATGAGCCGAAGACCAACCCCTGCGAGTACATTTAAGTGAGTACACACTGATAGAGTCAGCAGCGGGGGTGTCTGTAGCTCTTGGACTCGCCTCTCTCCACATCTCTACTGGAGAACCTACACCATACTTCTTGAGAATATGCCCTTCCCCACCGTCACCTCATTAACGGAGGAGCTTGCCCCTCTCCACCCCTCCTCCATCTCACTAATGCAAGACATGCACCTCCCCCCAACAACCCCTCCCTCAGCTCTAGGAAACAAATGAGAGAGGCCCCCCGGGCGCCTGTCAGGCTTCACCGCCACCGACACAAAAATCTATTCTTCAAACGAAGCGCAAGCCAACTGTGTTCTATTATATACTTTTCTCCCTGCAATATAGGGCAGGGCTGTTGGCATGGCGTGGCCGTGTCGGTATCGTGCGCATCTCTCCTTGCACCTCTCCAAGTGAAGGATGAGACGTCAGAGTGTCGTGGCGTCGTCTTGGAGTCAAGGTTCCTCAGGGGCTGCGCGTCGTGTCATTTCAAGGTAAACAATAATCCAATAACAAGAGCAAACACCATCACAAAGCGACGACGTCAGCTAGAAATAAAGACAACAGACAGCGAACCAAATAATAATAATATTAATAATGACAATAATAATGATGAAGAATACATAATAAGAAGAAATAATGACAGTACATAAAAAAAATCGCATTAACGATGTATCAATGAGAAAATCAGTAGATTTTATGAGGAGGAATCGAACTTGCACACTGGGTACTCCCAAGCATACGCCCTAACGATGCAGCTTGGGATTCCTTGCGGATTTGAATAGACGAGCTATAGGTAGAACTCCTTTACCACCGCCACAGTGCATGGCGGGCAATGTATGAAACCCTGATTGGGCTTCAGTTGAAGCCTCACGACCCATAGAGGACTTTGAGTTGAATTCCATGTTGCATTGCCTTTCAGCATGTCGCGACCGAGTTGTTTAGGGCGTATGCATTGTAGTACTCAGTGTGCAAGTTCGAATCCTTCGCATGACAACTACTGATTTTCTCAATAATAATAATAATAATAATAATAATAATAATAATAATAATAATAATAATAATAAATAAGTTAAAGGAGGTTACATACACACCATAAAATATTGCAAGAATCTGGTAACATTGAACTTAAAGAGTTGGATCCGACATAATAGATGTTGAAACAAATAGACAATCTTTCATTGCTTTTGGTTGGATGGGTCTATAAAACAACTTGTTATCGTAATTCATCGTTACGGAGGGTAAATAACATTAGTTTGGTAAAGGCTGTTGTATATTATTGAAGGTCACACACACACACACATATATACACACACAAAAAAAAAAAAAAAAAAAAAAATAGTTAGTAAACAGTTGATTGACAGTTGAGAGGCGGGCCGAAAGAGCAAAGCTCAACCCCCGTAAAAACACAACTAGTAAACACACACTCGACCTATTTCATTAAGAATAAAGTGTATTATCAACAATAAGTCTAAAAGTATAAAACTACTGTAACTGATACTAACAAGTATCAGTTACTGAATGCGCATATATTAAAATATCATATTCTTAATATATAGTTTAACGCCAAAAAAAATTCTTATATAAGTTGTACCTTTTTATTTAAATCAAATTTAATATATGCATATTTATGGATCAGCTTTCTAGACGAGCCAGAGACCAGAGAGGTACTTGAACACTTCCCTCACACACCTGTGCGCTTCTGAGGTTCGGGCTCCAGCGGTGAGCACAAGAAGCACCACAAGGAGGAAAGGAAGCTTTAGTTGTAACTTGAGTGCGGCTGCGTCCCGTCGGTGGTCGTGGCGACAACGAGTCGGGGGATGTGTGCCAGGCTCGCTGAAGTCATCGAGGGGCGCGCGTTACGCCGTATTGGGACACAAGGTCCGTTCCCCTCAACGCTCACACCATCGCCCATATTATTTGCTTCCTGGCAACACTATAATGGTTTCCGCAGTAGGCTGAAGGTGACTCAAGGGGGACTCTCAAGAGGGAACTCAAACGTGACTCCGTTGGTGACACTAAGGTGATGTCATCATGCTCTCTTGTAGATTCGTGTAGAGTCTTAGCTCAGAATTGAGGAGAAAGCAGTACTAGAGTTTGTTTATTGTGAAATGTCATAATTAGGAAATGAGGTAAGAAAAGTTTACACAGTTTAGATTTAAGCTAATTTTCTTTAGTCTCCTTGTTTTCAAAAGTTTTTTTCATTCATATTGTGTTAAATGTTTTTTTGGGGGTCGGGAATTAACGCTTAGTGTATTATATAGGTGTATTAGTTATTTTTTGTAATATTTGAGTTTAAATGACTAAATTATAGTTTTTAGCCTTTATTTTTGTTGAACTAAGTTTTGTTAATATCCATTATCAATGGTTTTTTTTTTGTATTTTTTTTAATACGTAAGTTTAATTTTTTACGGCTGATTAAACTTACAGCTTAAATTTATCACATTGTGAGTATGCTTTCTCGTATTTTTTCCTCTTTATTAAAGTGTAAATTTGGAGTATCGTGTGTTTCTGGCAAATTTAAAATTTTCTTTTAGCTTGGGTTTTAGCAATATAATATTGTTTGATATTTTTGTGATATATTTGTCTTTTTAGCAATTTTTAGATCTGATGATGAGCATAAGAGTTTTCCGAAACTTCACGTGAAGTTTTTAAAATAAGAAGTTCTATCACAAGATATGTTTACCATGGCAGTGGTTAGTTTATTATTTTAAGATATATATATTTAGGCATGTGTGTGTGTGTTTGTGTGTGTGTGTGTGTGTGTGTGTGTGTGTGTGTGGTGTGTGTGTGTGTGTGTGTGTGTGTGTGTGTGTGTGTGTGTGTGTGTGTGTGTGTGTGTGTGTGTGTGTGTGTGTGTGTGTGTGTGTGTGTGTGTGTGTGTGTGTGTGTGTGTGTGTGTGTGTGTGTGTGTGTGTGTGTGTGTGTGTGTGTGTGTGTGTGTGTGTGTGTGTGTGTGTGTGTGTGTGTGTGTGTGTGTGTGTGTGTGTGTGTGTGTGTGTGTGTGTGTGTGTGTGTGTGTGTGTGTGTGTGTGTGTGTGTGTGTGTGTGTGTGTGTGGTGTGTGTGTGTGTGTGTACTCACCTAGTTGTACTCACCTAGTTGTGTTTGCGGGGGTTGAGCTCTGGCTCTTTGGTCCCGCCTCTCAACCGTCAATCAACAGGTGTACAGATTCCTGAGCCTATCGGGCTCTGTCATATCTACACTTGAAACTGTGTATGGAGTGAGCCTCCACCACATCACCCCCTAATGCATTCCATTTGTCAACCACTCTGACACTAAAAAAGTTCTTTCTAATATCTCTGTGGCTCATTTGGGCACTCAGTTTCCACCTGTGTCCCCTTGTGCGTGTTCCCCTTGTGTTAAATAGACTGTCTTTATCTACCCTATCAATCCCCTTCAGAATCTTGAATGTGGTGATCATGTCCCCCCTAACTCTTCTGTCTTCCAGCGAAGTGAGGTTTAATTCCCGTAGTCTCTCCTCGTAGCTCATACCTCTCAGCTCGGGTACTAGTCTGGTGGCAAACCTTTGAACCTTTTCCAGTTTAGTCTTATCCTTGACTAGATATGGACTCCATGCTGGGGCTGCATACTCCAGGATTGGCCTGACATATGTGGTATACAAAGTTCTGAATGATTCTTTACACAAGTTTCTGAATGCCGTTCGTATGTTGGCCAGCCTGGCATATGCCGCTGATGTTATCCGCTTGATATGTGCTGCAGGAGACAGGTCTGGCGTGATATCAACCCCCAAGTCTTTTTCCTTCTCTGACTCCTGAAGAATTTCCTCTCCCAGATGATACCTTGTATCTGGCCTCCTGCTCCCTACACCTATCTTCATTACATTACATTTGGTTGGGTTAAACTCTAACAACCATTTGTTCGACCATTCCTTCAGCTTGTCTAGGTCTTCTTGAAGCCTCAAACAGTCCTCTTCTGTTTTAATCCTTCTCATAATTTTAGCATCGTCCGCAAACATTGAGAGAAATGAATCGATACCCTCCGGGAGATCATTTACATATATCAGAAACAAGATAGGACCGAGTACAGAGCCCTGTGGGACTCCACTGGTGACTTCACGCCAATCGGAGGTCTCACCCCTCACCGTAACTCTCTGCTTCCTATTGCTTAGATACTCCCTTATCCACTGGAGCACCTTACCAGCTACACCTGCCTGTCTCTCCAGCTTATGTACCAGCCTCTTATGCGGTACTGTGTCAAAGGCTTTCCGACAATCCAAGAAAATGCAGTCCGCCCAGCCCTCTCTTTCTTGCTTAATCTGTGTCACCTGATCGTAGAATTCTATCAAGCCTGTAAGGCAAGATTTACCCTCCCTGAACCCATGTTGGCGATTTGTCACGAAGTCCCTTCTCTCCAGATGTGTTACCAGGTTTTTTCTCACGATCTTCTCCATCACCTTGCATGGTATACAAGTCAAGGACACTGGCCTGTAGTTCAGTGCCTCTTGTCTGTCGCCCTTTTTGTATATTGGGACCACATTCGCCGTCTTCCATATTTCTGGTAGGTCTCCCGTCTCTAGTGACTTACTATACACTATGGAGAGTGGCAGGCAAAGTGCCTCTGCACACTCTTTCAGTACCCATGGTGAGATCCCATCTGGACCAACAGCCTTTCTAACATCCAGATCCAGCAGGTGTCTCTTGACCTCCTCTCTCGTAATTTCGAACTCCTCCAAGGCCGCCTGGTTTACCTCCCTTTCTCCTAACACAGTGACCTCACCCTGTTCTATTGTGAAGACCTCCTGGAACCTCTTGTTGAGTTCCTCACACACCTCTCTGTCATTCTCTGTATACCTGTCCTCGCCTGTTCTAAGTTTCAATACCTGTTCTTTCACTGTTGTTTTCCTTCTGATGTGACTGTGGAGTAGCTTTGGTTCGGTCTTGGCTTTGTTTGCTATATCATTTTCAAAATTTTTCTCTGCTTCTCTTCTCACCCTGACGTACTCATTCCTGGTTCTCTGGTATCTCTCTCTGCTTTCTGGTGTTCTGTTATTCCGGAAGTTCCTCCACGCCTTTTTGTTCAGTTTCTTCGCTTCCATACATGCCCTATTATACCATGGATTCTTCTGTTGCTTCTCGGATTTTTCCCTTTGGGCCGGGATGAACCTGTTTACTGCCTCCTGACACTTTTGGGTAACATAGTCCATCATACCCTGTACAGACTTGTCTCTGAGGTCTGTGTCCCAAGGTATTTCACTTAGGAAACTTCTCATCTGTTCATAATTCCCCTTTCGGTATGCCAGCCTTTTGATTCCTAGTTCTTTTTGGGGGGAGATAAGTCCTAGCTCTACCAGGTACTCAAAATTCAATACACTGTGGTCACTCATTCCCAAGGGCGCTTCCATCTTAACTTCCCTTATATCCCATTCATTTAGGGTAAATATCAAATCAAGCATTGCTGGTTCATCTTCTCCTCTCATTCTTGTTGGCTCTTTGGTATGCTGGCTTAGAAAGTTTCTTGTTGCCACGTCCAGCAGCTTAGCTCTCCATGTTTCTGGTCCTCCATGCGGGTCTCTGTTCTTCCAATCTATCTTCCCATGGTTGAAGTCTCCCATAATTAGTAGTCCAGATCCATTCCTGCTAGCAACAGAAGCTGCTCTTTCTATTATGTTAATGGTGGCCATGTTGTTTCTATCATATTCCTGTCTAGGTCTTCTGTCATTTGGTGGTGGATTATATATGACTGCGACTATAATTTTTTTCCCTCCATTTGTTACAGTACCTGCTATGTAGTCACTGAAACCTTCACAGCCCTGAATATCCATCTCCTCAAAATCCCAGCCTTTTCTTACCAGCAGAGCTACACCACCCCCACCTCTTCCTTCCCTCTCTTGTGTGTGTGTGTGTGTGTGTGTGTGTGTGTGTGTGTGTGTGGTGTGTGTGTGTGTGTGTGTGTGTGTGTGTGTGTGTGTGTGTATGTGTAAACCAGGAACGAAAATTAAGCATTTTTAAATTTTCCTTCGTGATTAAATTTTGTCATGACAGAGGATAACAAATGAGAGAAATACCAACACGAAGAATCTTTACTAGTAAATAACCTGAGAATAAACTTTTGTAAATAACCTGAGAATAAACTTTTGTAAATAACCCGAGAATAAACTTTTGTAAATAACCTGAGAATAAACTTTTGTAAATAACCTGAGAATAAACTTTTGTAAATAACCTGAAAGTAGGCTTTGCTTGTAATTAACGTGAGAGAAACTTGCTTGTTAAATGATGTCTCTCCTGTAAGAACACCATCAGGCGAGGCGTCAGCCTGGAAGACAGCTTCCTCTTACCAGGGTGTCACTCTACACAGCTTCTTGTTGGCGGCGATGATACTCCGGACGTAAAGCATGGCTTACCGTAGAGCATGGCTTACCGTAGAGCATGGCTTACTGTAGAGCATGGCTTACCGTAGAGCATGGCTTAATGTAGAGCATGGCTTACCGTAGAGCATGGCTTACCGTCGAGCATGGCTTACCGTCGAGCATGGCTTACTGTAGAGCATGGCTTACCGTAGAGCATGGCTTACTGTAGAGCATGGCTTACCGTAGAGCATGGCTTACCGTAGAGCATGGCTTACTGTAGAGCATGGCTTACCGTAGAGCATGGCTTACCGTAGAGCATGGCTTACTGTAGAGCATGGCTTACCGTAGAGCATGGCTTACCGTAGAGCATGGCTTACCGTAGAGCATGGCTTACCGTCGAGCATGGCTTACCGTAGAGCATGGCTTACTGTAGAGCATGGCTTACCGTAGAGCATGGCTTACCGTTGAGCATGGCTTACCGTAGAGCATGGCTTACCGTAGAGCATGGCTTACTGTAGAGCATGGCTTACTGTAGAGCATGGCTTACCGTAGAGCATGGCTTACCGTAGAGCATGGCTTACTGTAGAGCATGGCTTACCGTAGAGCATGGCTTACCGTAGAGCATGGCTTACTGTAGAGCATGGCTTACCGTAGAGCATGGCTTACCGTAGAGCATGGCTTACCGTAGAGCATGGCTTACCGTCGAGCATGGCTTACCGTAGAGCATGGCTTACTGTAGAGCATGGCTTACCGTAGAGCATGGCTTACCGTTGAGCATGGCTTACCGTAGAGCATGGCTTACCGTAGAGCATGGCTTACTGTAGAGCATGGCTTACCGTAGAGCATGTCTTACCGTAGAGCATGGCTTACTGTAGAGCATGGCTTACCGTAGAGCATGGCTTACTGTAGAGCATGGCTTACCGTAGAGCATGGCTTACTGTAGAGCATGGCTTACCGTAGAGCATGGCTTACTGTAGAGCATCGCTTACCGTAGAGCATGCCTCGAGCATGGCTATGGCTATAAACGTGTTACATCTATATTGCGTTACGATGTTGCTCACCTAATATTGTCACGGGTCTTATAGGCATCATTATCTTATCTGTCTAGTAATATCGTTGTCTTATCAGCTGAAGATATATGGATGCTCCTTATCCAAATATCAATTATCAATACGTGTTCATGTAACATGTTATTGTGTGTTGTTCAATTTCAATGAAACTTTTTTTTTTTGACAAAATAGATTTGTAACGTCTCTTTCTGGTAGACGCTTCAAACGTGAATGATAAATTGGAAAAGAAATAAAAAAAAGACAATTTTTTTAAGAAAATGGCAACAATTTATCAAAAAATCACTTCTATTACAAATTTTGAGAGATTTTATATTTATTTCACTAAGCTATCATTATAGTATATAATCTCGATTCGTAGTAGATAAAATTATTCAAAATGTCTAGTTGCTGCAAAAAAAAAAAATATATATATATATACACACCCCGAATATTATGCACCAAATTTACACATTTGGAAATCAATAACTCTTAAAATTTCTGGGTTAATTTAATTTGTTTACATCAACCCTAGAGCTGTAAAAGGTGCATATATAATGTAGGACTGATAAGAAATGCTCGAACTTTGAGCCTTAAAATGGAGTTTAAAGTTGAAAGAAAATTAACTAGGAAAAATGAGATTCCAACATTCCGGCCATTGTTACGGCCGGTTCTAATTGGTCAATTGCCTTCTAACTTTCCCTAACATTAACCTGCAGCCAAATATCTCTTGAAGCAAAAGTAAAAACATGTAATGATAATAAAAAGGGTTTATGTAAGTTTCGTATTTATTTCAAGTTATTTTCGTATATTAAACCAACAAGGTAATATTTTCTATTACATTATTTGGTCTGTCTTTAGATACTAAATAGCATTTCTTAAAGATAGCATTTCTTACTTCTAGGTGTCTGCTTTACCACAATGAACTTAAAAGATTTACTCTTTTGTTTCTAAGCGAACTAAGCAAAAAAAAAAAAAGGATGATTGAGAGCAGTAATGATAAACAGTATAATTTATTTCATTGATTTTTTTATACCATCTTCCAGTAACCTCCAGATATTGCATAACGTTCATCTCACAATGTTCATTAGAAAATTAACAATCCACAAACCTGGGAATTAACACATCAAGGTAATGCTATCAATGAGTTGAGGCGTTTTCATGATATTTTATCAATTGCAGAACTGTTTTTTTTTATTTTGTTGGCAACGAAAAGCTTTATAAAAGTACGAAATAGTAATATCATGTTATAAAACGTATAAAATATATTCGGTTTCAGTTAGGTCGAAGAACGTTTTACAATTTCTTCTTCCCTTCCTAAAACATCAATTAACATTCAGGGGAAATTGAGTATATATTAAGGATTACAAATCCCAAAAATATCAGCTAAGGGCTCTGTGCCCCCAGATATTCTCCCGAGAGGTCCAGATTTATGTTCTAGCGGGATTACTGCACGCGAGTCAGGTTTCTTGGTGAGAAGCCTTCCTGAATACTTGCTCCTTTCAGGTTATCAACCAGAGATCAGGTGGGCTTCGTCTTTTCATACAAGACGAGGCCTTAGGTGAGTCTCAACCAGGGCTCAGGTGGTTTTAGGTCACTATTAGCAAAGGGCCAGGTTTTTCCAATTGCACTCTCTTCACTAACAATTGATGTGGATGAAGTTTGCTTGGCACCTTAAATGATCAAGAGCTGGCTATCAAGATACAGACTAGCATCTTAAAACACCAAGAGCTGGCGGTCAGAAAGGAATGAACAATGAATTTTCAGTGAAGAGGCACATGTCCTCACGGATAAGCCGCACTATCTGACACAGCGTCGATCTCGAGGGCGAAGCGAACACGTTTCGGGAGTTTGGTTGGTCTGCAAGGTTCTGGGTGACGTACGTAAGAGCGGAGGAGCTCAGCTATCTTCTTCTCTGCGTCCTTAAACATGGAATTACTAGTGGTTTCCAAGGTGTCTGATGGGGTGTCGTCAAACGAAATATCATAAGGATCTATACCCTTCAGGAGCCAGGAATCAGAGAGGTACTTGTACACCTCCTTCACGCCCGCACGTTTCTCAGGTTTGGGCTCCAGCAGGCGTCGCAGGAGGCGAAGAAGACGAGGAGTGAAGCAGGTGAAGCGTAGCGGCACCTTGGTGGTCTTACGCTTGAGCCAGGCCACCCACGAGTTGTAGTGACGGTCAGTGATGTCGGCCGATGACCACGGATGTGACCCCGTCAGGCACAGGAAGATGAGGATGCCAAGCTGCCAGGCGTCCTGACCGCTGTGGACGTGGTAACCCTCGTTGTAGACAACCTCTCTCACCTCTGGTGGAACCCACGGTACTCGGATGTTAGCTTGCTTCACGAAGGCTCCCTCCCGCTGTGTGTTGCCGAAGTCACCCAGTTTCACTCGTGCCATTTCGCGGTCGAAGATGAGGATGTTGTCAGGAGTAACGTCGCGGTGAACGAGGTCCTTGCTGTGCACGAACTCTAGAGCGAAGGCAACCTTCTCTGCCACTAACTTCGTCAGCTTTTCTCCAAGACCTCCTCTCCTTACGAACTGCGACAAGTCACCCTCTGGTGCTAGCTCTTGGGCGAATACGTAGGAATTGTGAGTATCAAAGGGCACATGAAAGCTCTTGATGATATTGGGGTGTGGACTCAGGTAGTAATTGTAGTGAAACTCACGGAAGAAATCTTCCTTTTTCGTGGTGCCTTTCTGAACACACTTGAGGACAACCCTGTCATCAGCCTTCCGGTGTCTGGCTACGAAAATTTTGGTGTACCAGCCGGACGCCAGGAGCCGGACGTCGTAGAACTGACGGTCCACTTCTAGTCGCGGGAGCTCCAACATTTTGATGTCGTGGAAGCTTGACGTACTGCTGCTCCGAGACACATCTGCAGGTAAATATAACATTAGATTATGGACGAATGAAGGTAAAATAAATAACAAATTACAAGATTAACAAACTTGAATGAGCACTGTACGTGTGGACAGTCAGTAAGAAGGTACTTACTCGAGAGAGTGCCTGTTGAGCCCCTTCTGCTCAAGCTCGTATACTGGCAAGACATGTTTATGTAACGGCGATATGCACTGTAATGCACTTGTCTGAGGCCTGCACAACACAATTCTGAAGCCTGTAATCCGCAAGTCTTGGGGGGGGGGGGGTTTAAAACGCAAGCCTGAGGCCTTGTAATACACAAGTTTGAGGCCTGTAACCCACAAGTGTGTGAAGCCTGCACTGTCAACGGAGGTCCACCAGGACGGATAATCCACACAGTGACGACTTGCTTGGAGTGCGGCCTAGGTCGATGTGTGGCGTTGGCTCCGACCTGCCCAGGTTATATCCTCGCTTCTCGTGACGTCACTGGTGACTTCACCTGTACCAGCAACTGCTAACCTCCTCCACACACTGACAACTACCACGTAATGCAGGCACTCTCTGCCAACATTATAAGAAATGCCAAATCGTGAGATGAGCAATATTTTGACTTCTCTTTTTACGCTTCGTTCCTGATATTCTCCTGTGTCCGTAGTCACTGCGTTCGTGCAAGAGGTTCGTGAGCACTCTATAATAGATAATGGAATAATGTAAAGACTAAATATCAATAAGAATTATCACCTTTCTTTCGAGACTTCTCAGAGTTATCGCATCAAGGTCAAAAACGAGGCCAGCGAATATTTGTGGGAGGAAACGAAGGAGAGTGAATACGTGGCATATGTCACTGGTGGGTGAAGAGTGCCAACCAGTGCCAGAGTCTTCTCGGTATTGAGGTAGGCGGAGCTGTGTCTGAAGACCAATCTTTTCCTCTCTATAATTTCCTGTGTATTTAACTAATTGCACTCTTTAGGAGCCGTTGGAACTGCAACACAAATATTGAAAGTCAATAATTATATTCTAATGTTTCTAGTACTCACTGGCAGACGACTGAACAGGTTTTGTATAAGTGTGTGTGTGTGTATCTACTATTTGTGTCTGCAGGATCGAGTAATCGAGCTCTTGGACCTCGCCTTTCTAACTAATCTATTTGTCCTTTGTGTGTGAGTGTGTGTGTGTAGCAGTGTTGCTGACAAATGTTACTTCTCTCACACACACACATAAGTCAAGCAAGTTTAACAACACAAGGTAAGCGGATAATTATAAGGAGTCAGCGTCCCGACCACACCATATTCCACAAAGTTCAAAACACACACTCACAGACTTTATCTAAACGGCACATTTATCATTCCGAAGGCTGACAGAACACGTCACATGTCGGCCAGTACCCGTAATGACTTTGTTTCACTGACTCACACCTTCGCCAGACTATCCACTCACAGTCACCTCTTATGGTAAGCTCTCTCTTGACGCACTGTCGCCAGTCCTCCACCGACTGATGGAGATTAAGCCACCCAAGAGGTGGCACAGACACGAGTAACCCGTAAAGTCTTCCACCACCATCTAGGGCCTTTTATAGGGTGAGTGAGACGAGTTCACCTTCGCCAGGCGGCTACTGGCAACCAGCGATTATTTATACGGCAAACAAAAGCCAGCGCTCAGCTTGGCGTTAGTGTACTAATGTTTAATGAACCCTTACACGGCCTCCGGCCAGATATATCTTAAGAAAATGTTGGGGGGTGGGGGAGGGGGGGGGAGGAGATCTAGGCCGAGGTGACAGGTGCCAAGAAGTGGGTTAATTGTTAAAGCAACGACAGCAGTTACAAAAAAATTTGCAAGAAAAGCAACATAAATCCTAATATAGAGAATAAAGTAAAGGAGGAGTAACACCAACACTAACAAATAGACAGATAACTGCAACAACAGGAGCATCACTGAAACAACGACAGCAACAATTGTTATCAATTGCAGTGCAACGGAAGCTATATTAGCAACATCAGAACAAAACCAGCAGCATATTCAGACACTAATGACGACAGTAACAACATCAAGCAACAAAACAAACAGCCAACCTGTCCTCTTGCATAGCACATCGTGTTTCGACGTCAAAATCCAAAACATCAAATTAAGACGTACTAAAAACCATATTAGCAGCTCGCAAAATTGATGTGATACGCCGTTGTCTATTCGCGGGGCCTCGGGTTGTTGCTGTTTTAGATTCAGCTACTCGGAACACAAAGTTCCAAGTAGCACGGGCTATGGTGAGCCCGAAGTTGACTTACCTGGCACAGGAGCGGGGCTGTAGCTGGGCCTCGGGGCAATTTAGTACATCATTTTAATGGGGTTGTGAACGCTCGAGAGAACGGGCTGTTATACGAGCACACGCCGCCGAACTTATACATACATACATACATATATATATATATATATATATATATATATATATATATATATATATATATATATATATATATATATATATATATATATATAATGAAGAATCTGTGCGTCAACACTTTTAGAAGAAACATACATTTAGTTACAAGCAAACTATCAACCTCATGCGTACGCAAAGGGTCAACACAGCAGACGTTTTCGCATATGCTGCTGATGGTATTCTGTTGGTATTTACCACGGGTGTTGAGGGTGGGTGTTATGCCCACTGCCTGGTCTGTTGTTATTTGATTCACTGCTTAGTTCACTGCGTTGTTTTCAGTCCACTGTTGTAGTTCATAGATCACTCTGTTGTTTTATTTCATAGTTCACTGTACTGTTGTGTTCATAGATCCCTCCACCCTTGTATTTCATAGAATACTTCACTGTTGTATTTCATAGTTCATTCCACTGCTTCACTTTTATCCTGGCACTGAAGAGCATTCGAATATAGTTTGGGTACTTCTATGAATATTCCCCAGTTTTTATCATTCTCATGACAGTATTTGTCTTTGAATGTGTATTGGGCCAACACGAAGCTGAAAATTTTAATGTAAAAATAATCACACTGTTTTAAGGCCACAGTAAATGTATCCTACTTAGGTACACAACCAAAGAGTTCATTAAGCTGATCGTCGAGGACGCCGATGGTAGTGCGCCGAGCGGTGATGGACCTCCTGGAAATGAGCAACATAACCCTATTACGCCCTGTGACCCGATGGTCCGACAGCCTTCACACACACACACACACACACACACACACACACACACACACACACACACACACACACACACACACACACACACACACACACACACACACACACACACACACACACACACACACACACACACACGAAAGCTGCTTACGTGGCCATGCACTCTGTATACACGTTGCCCGAATACGCTCTCTTGTATAATAAAGCAGAAAAGATCACAGATGTTTATTCCACAACCCCCTTTCACTAACTCACACGGGTTAACGTCTGTGTATGTGTGTGTGTATGTGTGTGTGTGCGCGTGCGTGTAAATGTGTGGGGGTGAGACCAGGTGCGTGTGTGGGTGTTTTTGTGTGCGTGTTTGAGGCGCGCCAACCGTACTGGGAAACCTTGGCAAGGTCAGTAGGCCAGGGATGTTCCAAGAATGATGGATAGAAAGATAATAAAGGAGAGAGAAAGACTCAATTACAGTGCTTAAGCTTGGTGGTTGCTGGCCAGCTTGACAGCGTGGACCTCCAAACACACGAACAGCCGCTGGGAAGAGAACGCATCGTAACTAAGGCCAAAAGCCCTGACAGGGGATAAACTTACGTATTCAGACTGGTACGTAAGTGACATTTCGACTGTTAGGCAGACAGGAAGCCAGGCAGACAGGAAGCCATGCAGGCAGCTAAATAGACAATAAGCCAGGCAGGCATCCAGGTAGACAGACAGCTAGGCAGGTAGGAAACCAAGCAACCAGGCAGTCATTAAAGCCAGGCAGGTAGATAGGAAGAAACAGGCTTGCAGACAGGAAGCCAGACAAACAGGCAGGGAGACAGGTAGGCAGACAGGAAGCCAGGTAGGAAGACAGACAGGCAGGGAGACAGGAAGCCAGGCAGACAAACAGGCAGCGCGACGCGTGGACCTCCTCACAGCCACTGTGCAATAGCCAAAATTACTCTCTCGTCACTTGTGGTGAAAGAAGGAAGGTCAGAGATAGAAATGTGTCGGGCGAGCAACTTCAAGATAGCCGTGTAATTTGTATTCAAGAGCGGCATGTTGGCCTTGTAAGAGAGACCTTTCATTGTTCCTCGCATGCTTTACCGGCTGCGTATGAGGTCCTCTGTGGACGGAGGTCAGTGTAGCACTGGTGGACGTCAGTGTGGCACTGGTGGACGTCAGTGTGGCACTGGTGGAGGTCAGTGTGGCACTGGTGGACGTCAATGTGGCACTGGTGGAGGTTAGTGTGGCCCTGGTGGAGGTTAGTGTGGCCGAGGTCGAGGAGATTGTTGGCATGTGGATATGGACCACTGATTCAGATCTGGTAAAAATTTGTCTCTATTAAGCAAGAGCTTGTGTCCTCTAAGACTGTAGTGTGAAGCATGCTACACGAATCTGGACGCTATGATATATATTTTCTTTAATCAGCTCACTTTGAAGACTCGCTCTAGAAATTAATCTATGTTTTTATATATATATATATATAACTGAATATTGTACTTTATTTAGGTCATAGTCTAATAAGGCGAAATTTTAAGTTGAAAAACATAATTTTTGTATATATCTATTTTCCATGAGGCGAGAAATGGATGAGCGCTGATGAAGCAAAATTATATAAACATCAAGAATGAAGCATTATGTCTGGCTGAGCGTCTTGAGTTGTGACGCCCTGATCTCAGGTTAGCCTTGTGCATTGTTACTCAATGTAGGACAAGTGGAGAACCTTGAGAGCCTCGGACATCTCCCCCGTGTTGACTACTGGTGGATTAACAGAACCAATGATAGTAAATGGAGGCTGGAGATGAGTAGTCGTGCAAGGTTATCAAGTCTCTCTGGAAGAACTGAGATTGACAATCGACAATCCACTGAGATTGACGACGACTTACGGTGCACATGGACGTAGGCTTAATATGAGGAAAGCTTTGAGGCAGGACCATAGGATTGAGCCAGCGTCCTAAGTGACCCCCCCCCCCACACACACACGGGCGCGCCTTAGCCAGTGGACCACGATGTGCTAAAAGTTATTTGACCTTCATGTTTAATATGGTTTCAGTGGACCAATAGGCCTCCTGCAGGTTTTTAATGTTTCTAGTAGTTGGTCACCACACTTGCGTCCGTCCTCATATCCCAGCTCCTATCCTGTTCCCATATCCCAGCTCCTATCCTATACTCATATCCCTATCAATTGGTATATAGTACCAGACAATCACCAGAGATGGAGGGATATAGTTGAGAATGGAAGAAGTACAACGACTAAACTATTAGAAAAGGTGATAAGGGGGACATAAAAGATGATAAGGGGACACAAAAGGTGATAAGGGGACACAAAAGGTAATAAGGAAACACAAAAGGTAATAAGGGGACACAGACAAAAAGCAGATAGATGTCACACACACACGACTG